TGTAAATGAGTGGCAATGTCTTTATAATGTCCATCAGACACATTACCAAACAGTTGATTTGTCTATCAAACTCAGAGATGCAAAACAAGTAAGCCTGTCACCATCATCCAAAATTTTTAATATAAAGAATGATGAGTGTGCCTCTGAAAATTATTTGCAGCATGCTCCCATATAACAGTTTACATAATAATAATAAAGTAGGGGGACAATTTTTTTTGTGTATGGTATCCATGCCCGAAACAATATAAAGAAATTATAGCAATCGGATTTTATTTGAATATAAAAATTAAAAATATAATACAATTTCGAATTAAAAAAAAAATAAATATCTTTTCTTTTTTGAGTTCCAATTACTTCTAATGAAACTCGTAACAATTATCAATCGATAAAATTTTCTAGATTTTGCTTTGAGAATCCTTTTGTAAAATTGTTCCAATGTTCGATTTTGTCAAATCGGGCAATTGATTAGTGATCTGCAGAATTGTCCCAAAGTCTGGTGCATTATTATTATAGGTAATAAAAAGGATTAAAAGAATATAAAAAAAAATCAAAGATTTAGACAGAAAATCTATTGCTTATGAAGTTTTTTGTGATTATACGTTCCAGACATGTTTGCGTTGTTTTTGCTCTAATTCGGTTAAAAAAAAATTTTTTTTTAATATTTAACTTTGTATGTAAAATTGGCGTTGTATATATTTTTTTTTTTGAAATCATTGATGAGATTTTTTAGTGTCCATTCATGATTATCTAAATTAAAATTAAATTAAAAACTTGGTAAAACCAGAAAAAAATCCGGTTGGTTCTGGTCACAAAAATATTATTATTATGCTATATTTAACATTATTATCTTTCCGAATGTGGTTGGTTGGTGAGTGTTTCGACATTACACGTAATATCGGAAATATATTGTATCTTCAAAACATAACCATGAAATCGCAGTAAACGTGATGTCACGCACTAGTGACTGAATTACGATTGTGTGACAATAATTAACAAATACAATAATATCTTGAAAAACATCGATCGAAAATAATTGAAATTTAAACCGTATAAGCTCGATAACAAGCAAAGATCACTATCATTATGTGATTTTATTCTCCAAGGCTTAAGAAAATCTTTTTAGTTTTATTGGGTTTGAGTTATGCAAAATTTCCTTTTAAGGATAATGTTTTGATGATTTTGATAAAACGTAGTGTAATTATTATTATTAAATGTGATCTATGTCTGATAATCTATATAATAATCTATGTCCCTCCCGATTCATTTGGTTGGTTATTTTTTTTTCGACTCATTGGATATTAATTATATTAATTATATATTTTCGTAACGTTTCATTTTCATTTTACAATTCAAATAATTTTTTTGAAAAATAAATAAATAAATAAAATAAAAAAATGGACTCCACAATATTTGAAAATTATTTTAATGAAAATGAAAGATTATTAAATGAAGAAAATTTTTATGATGTAAAAATATATGTAGGTGTAGAACCAAACATAAAAGAAATTCATGCACATGCATCCATCATATGTGCTCATTGTCCATTTTTTGGCATTGCATTAAATAATGCAACAAAAGAAAATGGTTATTATATTGTTAAAAAAGCAAATATTAATGAACAACTTTTCAAACATATTCTCAAGTAAGTTTAAACTAAACTATTATTGTATTATTTATTATTTTTTATATTGTTTATTAACAGTTATTTATTTTTAAAAGATTTTTGTATACATATAAGATTGAATTAGACAGTTTTACTGGAGTTGGTGTATTAGAAATTTTGGTTGCAGCTGATGAACTTGGACTTGAATCACTTTATGAATATACAATGAATTATTTTATTAAAGAACATGAAGATTATATAAAAGAAAATCCAGTTAAAATTCTACAATTGATTTATTCTAATGAAAAATTTAAGGAATTGAAAAATAACTATTTAAAAAAATTTTGTGATTACAGTGAAAAATTATTTCAGTCAAATGAATTTGAATTATTGGAAAAACCAATTTTATTGGAAATTCTCAAAAGAGATGATTTTTCTGTTAACGAGATAGTTATTTGGGAAAATGTTCTTAAATGGGGATTATCAAGACACCCAGAAATCAATAACAATGATCTTAAAAATTGGTCACCACAAAATTTTGTTGATTTAGGCAACACAATAAAAGAATTTATTCCTCTAATAAGATTTCAGGATATTTCTAAAGATGATTTTTTTAATAAAATTGTACCCTATTGGAAACTTCTTACAGAGTTTTTCTGGGATGACCTATTACAATATTATTTAGTTCCTGATAGACAACATTCATTAAACTTATTGCCATCAAGAAATATAAAACTTCCTCCAAATCTTGAATCAATGACAATTAATAGAAAGCTTACATTGCTTTTTGCAAGTTGGATAGATGGAAAAAGTCCACCATATAATTCACACAGAGAAGTTAAATATGAATTTAAACTTTTATATTGCAGTAATAGAGATGGTTTAGATTCTACAGTATTTCATCAAAAATGTGACAATATCAACAAAACCCTTGTAATTGGTAAAATTCAAAACTCTGATCAAATAATTGGTGGTTATAATCCACTTAATTGGGGTGGAAGTGGTTATAAAGCAACAACTGAAAGTTTTATATTTAATATAAGTGATAGAAATAATATTGATACTGCACAATTTAGCTATGTTAAGAACGTTAAGATTAATAATAATGTATATGCAATTTATTGTGATCCTACTCATTTCCCTATTTTTGGTTATGGTTGGGATATTTATTTTTATATAGATGGTAATTTTTGTCATATTTCTAGTTATCCATATAGTTATAACAACATCTCGATAGCAAATAATAGTAAATTTGATGAATTAAAAGTTTTTCAAGTAATTGATAAAAAATAAATAGTTTACAAAACAATTATTTTACTAACATATGTATTATTGACAAAATTTCAATTTAAATAAAAATATACAGTGTGTCCCAAGAAAAAAAAATTGCATATCTCAATAATTTATCATTTACTTTATTAAATTAATAAGAAATTCTATCCCTCTTTTTTCCTAAAATCAATTCACCCCCATTTCTCTCATTCTTTAGCCATAATCTTTTCAATTTGTCAACATTTTTGGCTTCGTTTTTTCAACATCATTTTCATGATGTCCAGAAATGTAAAATAATTTCGCATCAATGGCCCCTTTTTGATCATAAAAAAATTACTGTATTTTCAATAATTAAAAGCTCGACTTATCAATAATTTATTTACAACATAAATAATCATTCTTACCTACTATTAATATTATCAATATCACATTTTGTCAACTATATTTTAATTAATATTCACAATCACAACAATACAATCAATTATTTTATTGACTAAAATAATGTCCTGTCACTTGGAATAGTTTAGGACCTTTATTGAGGTCCCAGAGGTTTTTATGATAAATTTACCCAAGGGCTTTTATATTATTATAAACTTTATAATATTAAATATTCTCTTTTTAACAATACAACCTAATTGTTATCATTATTAATATTAAAAAAAGAAATCACTTCTTCGTTTGTCACCAACCGCACAATTATTATTAAATAAGTTACTCTAGAAAAATAAAGAGACTGAAATGTAAGATTATTTAATGCTTTTGATACAAAACATGTTTTCCACCCGCAAGTTCATAAATTGCAATTATTTTAACCATGCAAAGTTTCTTGTCTCTAATATCCACCTTTTTTCCAGTTGATTGTTTTGTGAGTTGTGTGATTTGACGGTTGCAAGAGTCTTACTAACTTTAAAAAAATTCGTCTGAAGATGATTTAGATTTAAAAATATTTAGGCATAACTTATTATATACCAACAGTTATATTGTTGTTTTACAGTATCTATAAAAAATTTACTCTTAAAAGTCTGGAGTCTAGAATAGGTTTACCTTGCTTCCGGTTCATTGAAAAATTGTTTGAAAAAAAAAAATATAAAATTGAATTAGCTAGAGATTTTAAATTATAACTATAATATTTTTTTATTTATAAAAAAAAAAAGTTCACGAAACATATATTTCACTATGGAAATTGTAGTCTATATCAATAAGTTACAAGGTCGTTCCTTCGCTAGCTCACTTTGCATAAACTTGTAATTTACTAATCAAAGTAATTAAATTCGTAAAGAATGACAGTCCTATTTGCTGAATCACTGCGTAATTACAGATTGTCCAAAACGTGGGCATAGTTTTTATAAAGTAATATTGTATTACAAAGTGTTGCTTATATTTACAGATCATTTATGATGTTTTTTTTCAACTTTATGACATTTTCAAAATAGAAGTTGAAGACGCGAATGGAAGCAAATGAAAAAGATGGTGCAGACATTGGAGTTATAAAAGAAAGAGAGAATTTTCTTTGTAACACATGTATAAGTAAGTTCCTTTAGAAATTAGCTTAAACCGACTTTTAAAGCGATTTCAAAGACCGATTTAAAACCAATTTAACTGTAGATGAAGTTATCACAGGTATCACATGTGATTAATTATATCGCATTCGCCGGTCGATTTTCTCAGGTGTCATTTAATATCAACCCATATGTTGTGTTTGGATACAAAATTCTTATTTGTTAATTAGAATTTCACGCGCGTGAACTTAAAATTCAAATTCACGCATAACATTTACATGGAATTTGTATTGATGGTCAAGTTCAGCAACAAATTCAACAAAAATTCTTCTTTAACAGATATAAATGCTTAATGGATCATCTTTTTTATACGGATTATCGATTTCAAATTAATGTTGTTTGGTAAAGTTGTTGTTGATAAGCATTTCTATGTTTGTTCTCAAAGTGATGTTTTATTGCTGATTTCAGTGTTTTTACCAACCTAACTTTAGAAAGTTCACATTGTGTGAAGAACATTGTCAAAACTATTCAAATATTTATAAATGCTATATTTTGTGGCCTTGATTTTTTAAATAACGTTGTTGAACTTATTTCTGAAGATGGCGTTGGTTATAGGTTTGCCATTTTTAGAATAAATTCATTGCACGCGGATCTTTTGGGAGTACTTCTACTTGCTTAAGAAATAAATAAATAAGTTCGTTTGAAATATCTAATGCGATTTTAATTTTTTTATTCCAATCCAAAGTTTTAAAATTATTTTGCAAGTATTGAGTAAGGGTCACACAATTAATATATTCCAATACGAGATAATATTCATCTTTACTTGCATCTATTATTGTTATCATTATACGTGTAATATTTTGTAAGTTTTAGCAAAGATACAACGTAATTAATTAATTAATTAATTAATTAATACCTTTATAAACACCGTGTAATTTTAATGTGGATTTATCGGAACCTGCCTCCCACATTAATTTAATCTGACGAAAACCATATATATTTTAAAAATGCGGTGCAAAAAACCATAAAAAAAACCCCCCCAGATTATTTTTTCCCTTATTTACCTCATCAACTTCGAAACGAATATTGGCAACATTGATTGGTTTTAACACGACGGTAGAATTATTTTTCTTTAATGTGGCAATTTCAACGTTTCCGTATATTTTGGAATTGTTAAAACTGAAATTTTCAAGATCTTTATCGGAAAATTTTTGAATTTTGAATCCATCAAATTTTGATTCAAGAAATTCACTTATACTTTGTTCAATAACTTTTCCCATTTGTACAAGTTTGTAGATTAGGCTTGAGAGAGAATGTGATTTGTGTCGTTTGTATGGAAAAGAAAAAGTAAAAGTAATAATAATAAAGAAAAAATAATTCGTTTTAAAAAAAAAATTCAAAAGGAAATTAATTCAACTCGAAAAAAAAAATATTGATCAAATAATTAAAAAAAATGAAAATACGAAATTGTTTATTATATATTTATATTTATACGGCCAAGAATCAAAGCTAATGATTAGTTATTAATTAATCACTAAATATAAATAATAATATACGACAACGAGAAATTTCGAAAGTAAACAAAAACAAATAATTTCTTTTTTTATATTACACACGAAACATGAAACTAAATCTAATTTTGGGTTGATTTTCTTCTTGTAATATTAATAAAAATAAATATAAAATGAACTTTCCAGAAATGCGTGGCATTTTCGTTAGTATTAATATGTTTCGTTCGTTGCATTTCTAGTTTAGAAGATTCAACTCCCATCACTATAATATCCCACGTCTTACTAACAACAAATTATTATTATAGTAATTTATTTTTTTAAATAAGACTATATATACACTCCTTGGAAGAAAGTACCGGACGTAGCTGTCGATTATTCCGTAAAATTTGCACAATAACAACAAAACAAGCGCATCATTCTGCAGCCTAGGTTCTTACTTTTCATGCATCCAAAATTTAATGTTTCCAGCAATTTTTCATTTAAATTAAATTGCAAATTAAAATCGTGAAATGTTGCACAAAATTTATTCGATTTTTCAATACCAAGTTTTCAAGAACCAGCTTATGTATAAATTATCACAATTCCGGCACGTTTAAAGGCAATTAATTAAAATGTTATTGTTAAAATTGAAGAAATTGAAGAAATTGAAGTTCAATTTTGATAGAAACAGCAAGCAAATATTTTGGGCTTTCTCGAACGCCAAATCGTGCAGAACTTGAAGGCATTTGGAAAAAAAAGGAAGCAGTTTCTCAAAAATACAACGAATTCGGAATTTTCTTTTGAAAGAAGAAAACCAATACCATCTATCCACGCATTAGTATATAATATCATTATAGTTTGAATGTGATATACATACATGCATTTGCATATAATAAGCATAAATTCTGTATATATATATATACACAAGAGGTTATATTTTATCCAATTTCCCCATGTCATCAGATGAAACGAATCATTATTATACATATGTTGCTCACAACTGCACAGAATTCACATTAACATGTAAAGAATATTCGCGGTATTCACCTATAATTCTCACAACACCAAGACAATAAAAATTCTGGTCACATGAGAATGCATGCATAAAAATTAGATTATTATTGTTTTGGTTTTAAAAGATGTTTGTACATATGATGGAAAATTTTTCATTCATTTTTATACAATTTTGGGTTAACATAGTAAATTTGTGCATGGCAACGTGACAAATCAAATAAATGAAATTATTTTTTTTGGAAATATATAAAGAAGGGATAATAATGATAAATCAAACAAGGTAAACAACTTGCAAAGTAAAGAATTTAAAAATATGTGGACACTGAAAAAAAAAAAGATAAAATAACATTCATTGATTTAATAAAAGGAATCATACCACAAAATCTTAAAGATACTATAACAAACATTACAAAAAGTGATAGAAAAACAAGCAGTATAATTTGTGACATAATGTATAATATGATCAAAAAAATAACAAAGAAATTTGGTTAAAAAGATGTGAACTAACAATTAAATAAGAACAAAAAAAATATATATGTGCTAATAAAATTAAAAAGAACAAATACAGTAACAAGAACAACAATAATAACAATACCATAAAAAATAATTATAATAATAACAATAATAATGGTGGAGAATTATGGTGTAGTTGGATATTGAATGGTATAAAATATGGTAACAACTGGAGAGACTTTTGTAGTGGTAGTAGCAGTACTGACATTTTGTCAGTTTGTTCCTAAAGAAAATTAGTGCGAAGCTTAAACCGAATATTGAAATCAATAATCAGACTAATTGGAAGGAACAGGTGATTACGGGGGGTAGTTACATGTTAAATAGAACTAAATATTTGTATAATAACAATAATAATATATAAATTTTTCTAATAAACAGTGTAACAGTACTGCATCGTTAAAAATAATAATATATATATAAAAAGAAGAAGGGGAAGTTGTACAAGATAGGATATTACCTCGTCCCGGGGAGATTTAACCGATGATAATCATGGTGAATTTAGTATTAGAGAATTTCCGTTATATTAATAGGGTTATCACGATCAGATGAAAGCAATGTCCGCTCCCATTTTGGAGGAATTAAAGGATCTATCTACATGTCTAATAAAAAGTTCAGAGACAAAGTGACTTTCACTGTATGCGAATTATACGTGATCCCGTGTAATACTAGTACGTATAATAATAATTGTTTTTATCGTTTTTTCGATGTACTTATCATAAATCATAAATCATATATACAGTATACATAAATATATGTATAGAATAATATGTATAGCAATAGAATATATTTAAAAACATACACGTATTAATACACGAAAACTATGAAAATTATATGTAGAATATTTGAAACCTGTTTTCTTGACGGAGCAGTCAAAAATTCTCAAAGAAAACATATTTAAGCATACCAAGGAGAATAGAAATATGAATCTCAAGTAAAGAATATTAAATTTATATTGCGTTTGTTTTTTAACTGATTTTTTTTGTTATCCAAACTTTGCGGAATAATCAAGAAATGCGCTCGGATACTTTCTTCCAGTAAGTTTTACGTGTGAAAATTATTTTTCAAAAATCACTTACTCATTCTTTTACTGTTTTTATTATCTGAACATTCAAAACCTAACCGAAATATCGAAGCTTTGGCCAAAACCACCGCCACACATTGTCATTAAGAACAAAGTCAATTAACAAATAATTAATTACGCTATGAAAAAGCATTATCATGCTCGGGAAGTTTATGGGGAAACATCATATCACAGTTAGTTGCACCACACATGTACTATATATCTAATACAAGCGGGACGATTCAACCTAAAAATCTCATATCATGGAAATCCAATGTGGGCTGGAAGGATAATAAGAATACGTATGCCGATTCTTAATCAAAAATCACCTTTATTTTTATTTACTTTTAGCTTTTAGATATATACAATATATTTAAATCAGTCCCTCAATAATTACTAGTCCAAGCAAATTATTTGCCATAATATTTAGGAGGGCAATGAAAATCACTTGATTTATGGTATTATATAATTTTTCTGGATAATAAATAATAAATAATAGGCTGGCTTTTATGATCGCGGTAAAACTTCTTTTTTTTTTCTTTGTTTTATTTAAATTCTAATCTTATTATCCACCCAGCAATAAATAGTCCTTTCAACAAAGTCACCCATCATTATTATTGTGGCTTATCTGCTTGCTCAAAGATATTTTGATTTTTCCATTTTATCCATCATTTCAGCAATTATTGATTTTTTCATTTCTGCTATTGATTTTTGCAGCTCCTTTGATTACTTCATCCTTTTGACTTTCATCTATTATTTAATTGTCATCACACTTTAGCCTTTTATCTATTATGTAGCGCAGTATACATTGATTTAATGTCGTTGAAATGGTTGGAAAGTCACCAGGTGCTGGTTCTTTCCCTGTAAAGAAGGACACATTTCTTGTTAGAAAGAGAACCAGTATAAACACATATGCTTTGACAAAGTAAAAACCGATTGGCCATTTTAACACAAACAATAGTAATAGTGTCTGCAGAATATACGATAAAACCATATAAGATAAAATCATATGCTTGTTTTGATCTCTCCGAGCCACACATAGCAAGACAAATAAATGAATGCTGTAACTAACAATATCCCAAATAATGTAAGGAGTACTATACTAATTGGATCGAAGATTTGTCTAATTGTAATAATAATAGTCCTAAGCTTTTTTATCGCGGTTACTGCGCAAATTACATGCAAACCCATGTTCACAATTGAAAATATCTTTATACTCAATAAATCATCATAGGCAAAAGAAATTATCAGCGGAATCACTCAAGTGACTGACTGTGTTGTATAATATGTCATCCAGTAATGGCAACAGTACATTTTTGATGGGCCCAGTTTTCCCTGAAACATTGAACAGAATGACAAAAAAGACTGGAAAAAATGTATTAAGCATTGCATCAAACGTATCTTTTTCAGATCTATACTCTTCGTCGACAATGGATGCAGGCACAAGTGGAAGGTGCGAAAAAAAAAACTTTAAATAAGCTTGGTGAACAAACACGTGAGCACCCTTATATTTTTTATTTGGCTTTATATTTATTTATTTATATATTTATATATATACATATTTATCAATCTATTAATCAATTAGAACGTATTAACTATACTGAAAATAAATTGGAACTTGCTGAAATACATGCTCAACGAGCTGCCGATAACGCTAGCAAATTGAAAAAAGCAAGTTTTAAAATAATTTAATAAATTGAAAAAAAAAGCAAGTCTTTAGTACTTACATATTTACAATTTTAATATATACGTGTACATACATATATTATATAGGTTAACGGCTCAATGTTTGGATTTGATTTTAATAACCCATTTACCAAGAAGAAACGTGAAGCTGAACAATTAGCTCGTATTCAAGCATTACAAGAAGAACAAAGAGATAGCCGTGAACAAATGAGGAGTGGAAATTGGGAATCGAAAAAAAATATCGAAAATGCATTGAAACAAGCCAGTAACAATAATACCATGTCATCTCATTATCAACCTGGGCAATCAACTAATCGATCAAAATATCAATTTGAAGCTGATGAGGAAGATGATAGATTAGAAGATCAGATAGACAAAAATTTGGATAGTCTTGCAGCGGGTTTAGGAACTTTACAAGCTATGGTTTGTATATCATTATCATTATCATTATCATCGTTATATATTGGAGAGATATATTATAAATGTTGTATTGTAAGATTTATTAAATTTTTTACTATTGTAATAATAAAATTATTATTGCTATTATTATTATTATTATTATTATTAGGCAATTGCTACTGGAGATGAAGTGAGAAGACAAAACCAAGTTATAGACCGTATTTCTGACAAAACTTCTGCTTTGGATAACCGTATTGTTGGAACTACTCATAAATTGAAAAAAATCGGATAATTATATTATATTTTGTTTTTTTGTTTTTTTTAATATAATGTATTCTATTAAATATATTTTATTAGATATATACACGCCTTACTTATTTAAATATTTTGTACAACAATTAACTTTTTTTTGGAAAGAAAATTTTTGACGCGTCCAAAAAATTCAAAAAATTTCTATATATAAAAAAATTAATAAATAAAAAAAAATAATAAAAATTTGTCGTTTAATTTGATTTTTGATTTTTGAAAAAGTATATAATATAGATAGAAAGAAATAAAGAAATATAATTTAATATAATTTATAATAATAATAATAATTATTATATAATTGGCCGAAAAGTAAATAAATAAATATTATGATTTGATTGAAGAATGCGTACAACTATCGCGTGCATATTATTTTTGATTGGATTTCCATCAAATAATTTTAAAGTTGGAAAAAAAAAAAAAATAAAGATGCTAGCTAGCTAATAGGTAAAAAGCAAGAAAAAAAGTGTAAGCAAAACTTATGTTTATTTATTTGCTGGTACTACCAATGTTTTATCATCACACAAATATTTTAGACGCGACCTCCATACAGAATTATATATATGTATTTTTATATAAATAAATATATTAAATATATGTGTATATTACTACGAAACAAAACTAAAACTAAAAAATAAAAATTAATAACAAGTTCATTGTTGCTTTAGTAAATTCCACTTTCTCACCAACAAACAACCTTTTGCTACCATTCCCAAAAAACATCTGATTTAATATTTAATATTTCTTTATAAACAAACATACAGAATTTAAAAAAAAACACTTATAATTTCATCTTTTAACATCATGCCTTCTAAAACTTCTAAATATGTGTATCAAGGTCATAGTAAAATAATTTCAGGCGTAATAACTGTTTTAGAAGCAGCCAACAGACCATTATCTTTACAGGAATTAGTAGACGAAATGACAAAAAGGCAATTGGTGGTTTTTCAGTAAATATATATGTTTTTTTTGAATTTAGCATTTTGACAATTCTCATCATATACGCGAGACACTATATTTATTTTAGAATATGTCATAATTAAATTATTTTATTTGTTACCCTTACTCTTTAGTGGTGCAACTCCAAGAAATACAGTCAGTGGTGAAATTAGTAAACTTCTTAATGCTGTGGGTCCAAGTAATGCTCCAATTCTTAAGATCAACCAAGGAAAACTTACCAAATTTTATTTAAGAACACAACAACAACATGAAGATTCTTTGTATGTTAATTTTTTTAAAATTAGTAATATAAATAACATCAATATTAAAAGAATAATGTTGATCAACTAAATTTATTAAATAACAATATATATATATATATAGAAGACAGATTTCAGCTGGTAAAGCCAAAAAAAGATATTATGCGCGTAATAATCAAAATAATCAAGATAATCAACATACCTCGAAGGCTCTTGTAAGTTTATCAGAAAATCAAAATCAAAAAGAACGCGTCTATGATCTCAAAAAAATACGTCAGATGGAAGATCTAAAGTAATTATATAAGAAAAAAAAGATATTATGTATATATATATATATATATATATATGAAATGTGTTTACTAAATCTCTCACACACACACATATAAATATGTTTATTTTAATAATTATAGAGCTGCATATTTATTGTCTTGCTTGTCTATTCATTCCTTTTGGCTGAATTATAAAAACGAACCTGAGAAAGATTTTAATTATTTTTTGGAAGCTCATGTTGGTGAAACTTCTTTAATAGCGACAAATTCTTCTAATAATAGTAATAACAATAACTACAACTACAACAATAATAATAATGAAACTAATGAGAATATTAAATTATGAAAATTGATTATTTCCTTTTTTTGATTTTGGATAATTTTTTTATAAATGATATCGATCATAATAGTAGTGATGATGACGATAATAATAATAATAGTGATAATAATAAATACATTAATATACATACATTACACACTTCAATTTATTAAACCCATAATAAATATAACCGTTTTTAATTTGTAGATATTAATTCTTTCTTCTTACTACCTATAATTAATATAATTAATAATAATTAATATATATGATTGATTTAAGAACGATTAATCCTGATAAGCAAATAATATGTTTTCTTTTTTATTTGTCAAAATTTTTTTCTCTGTAAATTTTTTTTTATTTCTCTTCTTTAATAAGTTTCTTTGTAATTTTTTTCCCCTTTAAACCCTCCCCCCCAAAAATAGAATTTTTTTTTTTTTAGAATTTTAAAATAATATTTAAATTTTTTTCTTTTTTTTTTAAAAAGTAATATATATATAACATAGACTAATTAATTAAAAACCAAAATATATAAATATAGAACTAAAATATATATTAAAAATTAACTAATTAAAAAAAAGTGATCCTATTCTGAATTATTAGTATTACCGTTACCATGTTATTATGATTCTGTACGAACTTCACATCCAAACTGGTCTAATTATCATTATCATTATCACCATTATCATCATCGTCATCAATAACAACAATCGTTGATCCATTCAAATTCTTCCCACCGTCATTTGATTCAACAATCTTATCATCATTATTATCATCTTTATGATTGTTGATAGATATGCCACCAAGAACTCCTGGATCAATTTCCATTTTCATTTTTGGAAGGGTTGGTTCTTTTGAAGAATATGTTGACGACAATTTTGATGTTGAAGGTGTAGAAGATGTTGTTGGTATTGTTATAACATTTGGATTTATTATCGTTGACGTAGTCGAAGCATTGGTATTATTAGCGTTATTGACATCATAACCATCACTTTTATTATCACCACCACCATCACCACTACTATTAGTAATTTTTTGCTCATTCTCAACACGTTTCATTAATTTTAATTGTTCAAGTATTGATTGTGTTAATGATGGTGGTGGTGGTGGTTGCTGCTGTTGACCATAATTAGTTTTTTTAGGTTTAATTTGTCGTAATGAACGTAATGCTGACGATGATATAAGTTGTGGCGATGAGGATGAAGAAGCTAATGAAGATGGTAGTGGCGAAGATGGTGATGGTATAGTGGATGTTGGCGAAGAAAAGAATAATGATGATGATGATAATGATGGTTTTATCGGTGCTGTGCTACTACTACCACCGCCGCTATAGTTACCAATATTCTCATTAAGAGAAATGATTGATTGAGGTGATGATGAGATTATTGGCAAAGACTAATTCAAAGATATGCGAAAATTATAATTAATATTATTAATCACCTTTTTTTTTTAAAAAAAAAAAAATAAATGATTAATTAATTAACCAATAATTAATAATAGCAACAACAATAAATAATTTGCCTGATGATTCGGTTGATCAAAGTGTAAAGCAGCTTGTTGAGGAAATTCTCGTTCAACTTTCATTATTTTATCTTCCAACACTTTTAATCGTTCATAAACATCATGAGGAACACTTTTGACTAATATAATAATGTACATATTAAAAAATCAATCACTTTCCATTAATTAATTTGCATGTTAATTAATACATATATATTTAATACCGATTGGTCGTTTATTCAAATGTTTTTCAATATTTTGAAGCCTTTCCTCAACACCTATTGGTAAATCATTTCTTTCATTAGTTGAGGTAGTAAATGTTGTTGTTGTTGTTGTTGATATATATTTAGCTAAAGGACCATCATCGTTGTCATTATTATTTACCACACCGAATTCATTACGATTAATTTCCACCGCTGTATCATCAGTTTTGGCTTCTAATTATGATTATGATTATGATTATATATGTATGTATGCATATTAACGTAAAAAGTAAATTAAAAAAAAATTTTTTTACCATCAGAAGAAATATTAAAATTATCAGAACTGGTAGAATTGTTTTGATCACTAGGATCGTTCATATCTGGTTTTTTAAATTGAATAAATGATTCAATTCTTTTCTCAATCTCGGGGTTAGTTTCTTTACTAGTAGTCCGTACATCCTGTGGTTTAATCAATCTTTGAATTTTATTAGCGTCTACAATTAACAAAATTTCAAGCAAAATGAGAAATCAATATTATTATTACAATAATAATAATAATAATAATATAATTATGATGCAAACTTGAAAAATCTTCATCTTCTTTTTTCCTTTTAATCGTAGAGTTAACATTTTTACACTGTGATTTCCATTTCTAATAAACAATAAGAATAATAAATATTAACGCAAATATATATAATCATAATCACATATAAAAAAATCAAGCCTTTACATTTAATTCTTGTATTAGCCAATCTATATTTTTCATCAATAGTTTTTCTAGATCAGATGAAAATACTAATAATTCTGTTGTAAACATCATATTTGTCTCATTCATTCTAATCTACAAGAAAAAAATTTTTTTATTTAATTAATTTAATAATAATACAAAAAAAAAATAATATATTTGTAATATTATTTACTTTTATAAAGAATTCTGAAAAAATTTCATGCCATTCTTTATTATTTTGTATTTTTTCCTCTATTTGCATTATTACATCTTCTACTTGCCGTGAATTTGAAATGTAACCGTTTTGATTTTTAAATTCTTCCATCAAAAATTTTATATCAACAGATTAGATTACAACTACCAATAACAATGCTTTGTTGATATCAAGGGTAGTGTGTGACATGTGAACAAAAATTTTCAAAATATATTAATATTAACGTTTTCGTTTTAATAAAAAATGGTTATTATCATTGCAACCTTTTTGAAGAAAGTTTGGCTAGCGGTTCACAATAGACAGAAGTTTTCGTTATAATAAGCAATTTCCATTGATAATAAATAATAATAATAATAATAATAATAATTCAAAATCCCACATGATTTTTATTTACAAAGTCAACCTGGATTTAAAGGGACAATACATCATCATATTTTATATTAATATGATGAAGCAATTACAACCAGACAAACTCCAAGTCTTGACGTCATACTTGTGTCTGATGTATCGTTAGTTTATCATGCTCGCTTCGGAACTGTTTCAAATTGTGGGACAGTCGGCCCCCTTCCGAATTACAAGAGGTCATTTAATATTAATTAACAAACCCGGCGAGGTTAAGAACTGATTTATGTCAATCAATGGTAATGGTAACAACGCGTTTCGAATAAACTTTATCAAAATTTTTTTTTATTTTATTTTTCTATTAAAAAATCAAAAAAATCAAAAAATCATAGATTTAAAAGCTTTTAAACTTATAAAATAACTTATTATCTTATCTTATATATATATAAATTTTTGGCATATTGAAATCTTAATAAAACGAAAAAATGTTATTATTATTATTATTATTATTATTATTATTTTGATATAAATGTTTGATATTTTAATAAAAATAAATGTTCGATAATAAATGTTTGATATTTTAATAAAATAAATGTTCGATATTTTAATAAAATAAATGTTCGATGAAAATTATTCAAAGAAACAGTTCGTTGAACACTGTTTTTTCAATTTCTGTAAGTGCAACTTCGGTATTTACGCTTTCTTCGTTGTTGTTGTTGGTGCTTTGTTCCAACGATGATGGTGAAGATGGCGCTAAGTTATTATTATCATTGTCATTATTTATTAAGGACTGATAATGATTACACAATATAATGATATGATAAAAATTACTAACCTTGGTAAAAATTAATTTGTAGAGGTTGATTTTTTCTCTTATTTTTAAATAATTCATCAACAGACGAACAGATACGTTGAAATTCTTTTTTTATCCCGTCATCTAAAATATCCCAAATTTTGGAAGAAATAAAAGAAATTTCTTCCCAAGTATACCTATAGTGAGCTAATAGGATTTTAATGGTTCGTCTAAAGATGATATAAGAACTAATTGACTTTTTCCCCCTACAAATTTGGTAAATGTCTCTTGCTCCGGGGGGAACCACTTTGTGCGTGTGATTCCATTTTAAATTATTAATCCAACATACGTTGTCAGCAATTTTAATTTCCAGGTAGAATTCTACCAACGCGAGACGACTTGACTCAATCTTTTTATTTTTTCGTCTATTCATAACTCGATTTTATTTCAATCAAGTTCAGCATGTGTCTTTTTTATAACAAAAAAAAAATATATAATTTTCCCTAATTTTAAAATATGCTAAATTTAGTCATGAAAAAGAAAAGGAGAGCGCGAGTGAACGAGCGATAAATAAATAATCAACGAGGGAAAAATAAAGAACAATTTGTTGCCACATTTCTTTCATTCCTATTATTTTTTGGTAGAAAGTATTTTCAATCGGAATATTAAAAAGACAAATCGTATTCTGTATTTTTTTCTGCGCATGTATGTATTATTATTAAGTGTTATACATTATTGGACATCGGAAATGATATGAGTAATGTCAAAAAGGAATTTATTTTTATTTGAGGGTATTTTGTCATTAGTATGATTGTCTGAAAGAGCGTAATGATGTAATTAATTGATTTTCGATATTTTAATTTAATTTTCATTTTTAGGAATTATAGTAATCGTAAGTTTGACGATTGGATATTTTTAACAAAACTTCCGACGAAAAATAATATTACGCATTCTTCTTATATATATACTTGGTCGATTAATTAATTTGCACGGAATTTTTTCATGATTGGGAAAATTTGTACAATTGATGACATTTATCATAGTTCGTGTTTTTTTTTTGATTGGTGTTGTGCTTATTATTTGGTTGTTTTTGGAAATGGACATGAGAGATACAAAATTTTATTTTTGTGTCCCGTAAAAACCGAATAATTAAATATGAGCACAAGCATTCATTACTCGAGCATTAATAATCAAGTTTTGTTTATTATTATTATTATTATTATACTCAAATCTGGAAATTTCGGCTGAAGTCTCGACACATAAAAATAATACGGGGCTTTTCAATATACAAAGACCATAATCTAAAATGGGATTTTTGAGATTTGCGTTTCGCTATTGATTTTACTATGAAAAAGTGGGTACGACTCCCAACCCAAAAATACTCCAAGTGAAGGGTGTTGTTCGCCATATCTGTAATTAGTTCTTCATGATTGCCATATTTAACATATAGTTATTTTTATGTTCATTAATATAAAGAACATCGAGAATCCGTAATTATTGCCATAATCACTTTTCAATTATAACTTAAAATTGCTTTTTTCACATTATGGCCTTTTTTACCGAGGCGTTATTTATTTTTAACATAGTACAACCCATAAATGTAATTAAATTCAACACATCATTTTTTTTTTAATAGATAAATTTCCTTTTACCCTACATTTCATAAAAACCTGTTTCCCTTTAACTCTTTACTTTTCTACCAATCCTCCCATTCTATATGGTGGGACAAAAATACTATAGAAATAGTCAAATAAGTGATTTCTATGGATATAATTTGACATAATCGACAACCAGGGAATTTAAATGAATAAGTTAGCGAGTAATGGGACCACAGGTTAATAATATCAGTAACATCTTTTTGACACTTTAAATTTACCCATTTTATAACTACTTAAAAAAGGGAATTTGGTTTTTGCGCATTGTGTGTAACTGTTCACTTCAAAAATTTTACTAATTGATTTATTTACCCAAAAAAACATAATAGCGACACTAAAAAAACCTTTGTATCAATGTATTCATGGTAATTTTACCCTATCAATGACGGTGACATTTTTCACTTTTCTATATGTTTTTTTACCCTGGGACCTCGATTAGAAGTTTCCGGAGTCCTGCAATAATAATGAATTAAAAGCTAACCCTCTCCCTGGATGAGATAATAATACAGGATTTTTTTCTGTTTTCAAAATTCTGCTGATTCTATCTAGAGAACCTTTGCCTAATTTTTTCAAGCCCAATCTGATATACTTGTGACTTAAAGCGAAGAAACTTCGCCATCTATGATTTGTTTTTTTTTTTGGTTATTAAACGAAGTCAACTACCCCCCCCGTTTATAAAAGCCATGCTCATAGCTTTATATTCCTAATTAATATGGTAAGTTTCAAATGTCAGTAACGATTTCGGAATGTTAGACTTCTAGCAATCAACAAATCGATTATGACCATCTGAGATATACATTTGGATCAAAATTTAGACTTGAAAAATTTCATGTATATATATATATATGTTAATAACTTTAGGTCGAAACTATCATTCCAAATATGTTTTCTAAAATAGAATCAAAAAAATAAAATTTGTATATATTAATGTATAAAGCAACAATAATTTAATAGCATATTCTAGACCATCAGTGGAATAGTTTGAATTGACAAAATCACGTAATTCACACTTCGTATTTTTGAGCATTTGTGTCTAGCAAATAATCGTTCCCCTTTCATGAGCTTCTTCTGTACAGTATTTCATGATAGTATTGTGAGAACAATCAACATTTATTTACTTTGATTGAAGAAGACATAAAATAATTAATAAGCCTCTTCTCTCCTTCAAAATTTTTTTTGCTCTCTTAGTTCTTCTCTCAAAAGGTGGTTAGAAATAATGACCACTAATGATGATGTTGGTAAAGATAAAGGGTAAAGCATCATCTTTTGTCAGGTAGAAGATAATCCGTAATTAATACAAGCTTCATTAAATTCTTTTGAATGGTATGTATTACTAATAATAATAAAAACATAGAGTTCAGATCACTGTCACCACCTATAACAAAAAAAGTATAATCCTAATAATACAGACTAGTACAGAAAAGATACGGAAAACCAGCATGTTTTGTATTTATTTTCGACATTCTATATTATAAACCATTAGTATTATATATTAACAAATTACATCATTGAATAAAAACGTACTTATTCCATATAGAATCAAAAACCTTTCAATATATTAATATGTTACACATATCCTGCCTGAACCTATTCCGTACCTCGCGTTAAAATTTAACTTTTCCAAATCTCATAAAAGTATGCTAATTCCGTATGTTATTCTTTATAGAGATTGTTGTCACCATCGTCAGACAACTTTTACATAGATGCTTCCTTGTGGTGAATAAATATAGCAGATAGTTTTTCTCTCTTCAAAAACAATTGCAACAATTACACACAGAAACGTTTAATCACACACTCCAGGGCTTGCTTTAATTAGTGATGTGTTATCAACACTCGAAAGCTCTTTTATTATAAATAAGGTTTGTCGATGCACCAAACTTTTGGTTATCTTTCAGAAACAATAAGTGATGTTGATGGTTTATCCCTTGTTTGAAGTTCAAATTAATTGGTTGGTTACCGCCGAGAGAGACGATTGTTGTTAATGTTAATTGCGCAAAAACATACATTGTGCCATATATAACTTAGGTTTTAGTAAATATTCATGTAAAATTTGATTTTATAACTTGAGCAATAAAAAAAAGGTTTTATTTATTAATTACTCAAAAATCTACATAACAACACAGTTTGAAATTTCCACATATAAAGTCTAGGTTTATTCGCGCAATATAATTTACATTTTTTTTTCAAAAAATATCTTTAATCATTATATTCTTAAATTGTGTTCATTAAAAAACGTGATCTATTAAATAATCGAGCTATTTTTTCAGCCGTAGAATTTTATGTGACAATATTCTTTCGTTTTTAAAAAAAGTATTCAGAAATTGTTTTATATAAAATTGATAATATTCCTTTGAAACCAATAATAAATGAGCTCAAAATAAATTAAAAATGTAACAACTAGAGGTTAGTCCCGTCTAAAAAACCTTATCCGGGTCACCCGTCAAATAAACTTATTATTATTATTATTAATATTATATAAACAGATTTGTTATATAGATAGATTGAATGATACCAAATTTCCGTATGGAACATAGGTGACAGGAATTGATAAATATTTACATTTACAAACATTTTTTTATTTTATTATTATTAACAATTATCTATATGCATTATTGTTATTAACATTTTTAATGCGGATCAGCATTATACCCGACCCAACCTCTTATAAATGATGATTTAATCACACATATTGTTTTTTCTTTATTAATTAACAATAAAAGGTACCTTCTGATCAAATATATTATTGACAAAAAAAAATCCAACCAATCTGTATAATAATAATAATGATTCAAAGATCTGCTTTTTTTATTTTCAGATCACGCGAATTCGGTTTAAACCTCAGGTTTAAAAAATAATTAATTAATGATAATATAAAAGGAAAGGATTGATATTTTTTTTTAAAATAATTGTCAGGGGGTTTAAAATTTGAACCTAAAATAGAAAATGAAATCATCAATTATAATAATTATAGTAATAATAATAACATATTATTTATCAAGCACATTGCCAAAGGTTAATGTAATTGAAATAACATTAATTGCTTTTGTTGCAAAACACTTGTTAAATTTAATTTACAAGTATCTTGAAAATTCGTTGATTACAGCAACTAATTACGATAATCATAAATCAACAGTAATCAAAGACAACCATAGGATTTATTTTTGTCAAACTTTTCATTCGAGATTTTTTCCTGTTTATCATTCGTTTAGATATCCAGTGGTTTTTGCCGGTGTTGATTTGAATTTACTTGAAAAAGAAAGAAAAAATTTTTTGTAGGTTCATTTGTTATTTATGATAAAAAGTATTAATCACTTACGAAAAAATACTTTATCTCTTTCTTTTAAAAAGGCTTGGTTATAATAATAAGTATTTATCAATCTTTAATATTAAAGATGATGATCATCTTGGACAAATTATTGAAGAATTACCAAATACAAATAGTATAAATGGTACAAATGGACAAAGAAAAATAATATCTATAAAAGAAAAGGCTTTATGGCATATAAGAAATCATGTAGGAAATAAATTATAATATCATAGTATCACAATTGTCATAATTACAATAATCATTCTTATTTCTAATCCAATCTTTACCTTTATTATCACCATGTTCGTTATTTTCATCTCATCTTTGTTATGACATTTAATAGAACATCCCAACAGATGATATAAATCATATAGAATTAATTACGATGCCAAGATTCTTAGGTTATGCGTTTAATCCTATCAGCATTTTTTATTGTTATGATAAAAATAATAATTTAAAAGTAATCATTTTAGAAGTCAGTAATACATTTGGCGAAAAACATTTATATGTTTTAAAAAGGGATCAAATAAAAGACCATGAAGCTAAAAAATTGGGGTATGCAAAAAATAAAAATCATCCCAGTTTTTAACATCATCATAATAATAACAATAGTAATAATAGTAACTTCTTTTTTTTTCCATTAATAGATATGAAATGGGATTTATAGTAAAACGTTCATTTCATGTGTCTCCATATAACGATCGTAAAGGGATTTATAAAGCATTTTGTAAAGATCCCCGATTATCTGGTTATTTGGACATAAAATTTGTCATGTATGCACCACACTCAAATTCAAAACAAACATATATTTATAAACACGACGAAGATTATGAAGAAGATGAAGATGCAGATTTTGTAAAAGGTCAAGCTAATCAAGAAAATAATAGTCAAGATAATGTCCAAGGCAATAATGATGCTAATAATGTTAAAGATGTTTCAGAGAAATTAAAGAAATTGCAATTTCATAAAAAATTTATCGCAGTTTTGACAGGCCAATCATATAACTTGACAAAAAATAGTTTATTATATGCTATAATTACATATCCTTTTGAAATATTCTTGACAGTACCACGCATTCTTAAAGAAGCCTATAAATTACATTTTAAAAAACAATTGGGAATATTTCATCGACCTATACCATTTGAAGAAACTATTGTAAAACTAGAACCAAAATTGATTGATTCGTAAGTCGTTTCTTTATTATTGTCTTTGTTATATATCACTATAGTAAGAGATTATTAATTCTATTTTCTATTAGGTATGCAAAGGATTTAGTCGTCAAGTATTTGAACAATCTTATTTCCAAATTCCCAGAACCAATCAAAATTACCATTCATCTACCTTCTACAAATACCCAACATCCAATCAAACTTTACCCTCCAAATAACAATGATTCTGCTGCTATTCATAAAGAAATCATCTTAAAACTACACGATTATTCATTTTTCACAGATATTTTAATCAATCAAAACTTATTCCGTGCATTAATAATTGGATATTTTAAGAAGTCTTGGGATTGCAATGATTTATCATTACTGTTCCAATTTTTCTTTAATTTTTCGAACAATAAATTCAACTGCATCAACACAACAATTAGTGATAATAAATATCAAAATTGGGTAAATTTAATAAGAGACTGGTATTGGAAACGTATTTTTACCAGTGATTGGTATGGTGGTCATGAAGCAAAAAAAGAATTTAATCGAATTTTATTAAATGGTCTTAATAACAATAATTCTTACCCATCATCATCATCATCACTACCGCCACCTTCTTCTCCAATTAGAACAACATCACTAGATTATAATATACCTTTATTAAATAATATTTTTTTTTATGATACGATTGGATCAGCAAATACAAAAACTACAAATATTATCAAGAAACAAATTCACTTATTTCCATTTCCATCTCCAAAATATCATCATCACCATTCATCGATAATAAAAAATTCTATTGATAAAATGATTTTATCAGATTCAAAGAATACTCTTAAATTAAAATATTGTTTGATGATCGGTTATATGATAATAACATCTCAGTTAAATGCATTTTTTTGGCAATTGATAACAAGCTTTGTTGACGGTCCAAACGGAAATCCTTTTTTGATCGAAAAATGGATATGGGAAGGTATCGTCGATTTGTTGAAGAGAAGTGATAATGATATGGATGATAAAAATATTAATTTGTTAAATGAGTGGAAAGTAGTTTATGAAAAACAAGGTAAATAAAACATTTCCTTTAATTATTCATTTAATCATTTACTTTTGTGCGTATGCTTTTACATATTGTTTTTCATTTTTCCCTCTCTACAAATAGATAATACAGATAAATTAAAGTTAATTGAACCAATCGTTCCTAATTCATTGAAACCCCTAACAACAACAACATCATCAATGACAACTAACAAAAATCCAAATATTCAACTAGATAGACAAATACGATTGTTGCATTTCATGAAAATTTTTAGAGAAACTATCCTTTTAAATGACGAATTAATTAATTGATTGAAGTTTGTTAATACTTGTCCTTATTATCATCATTACTATGATTAAAACATCCTAATAAATCTAATCCAATGGATTAATTAAAATGAATTGTAATAATTTGTTGCGATTTTTATCGCAAGTATATCATCATTGGGAGAGATTGTAAGTTATACGAGACCAACCAAACTTGGAATAATCATCACAATTTAGACAGGATTTTCGTGTGAACATAGTAGTCATGCTGCCTTGACATCTTGTAATTATAATAATATAATAATATTATTAATATTATTGATTACGAAAAGCAAAATATTATCAATGAAAATCTTATAATGATCTGCTCTGCGTTTTGATTCCAATTAAAATATTTATAAACTAAAAAAGATACCACATTATATCAATACAAATAAAAAATAGACCACCGGTTAGTTATTAACACGTTTCTTTAGGAGACCCAAACCAAACAACAACGCTCACGTTTTGTCACCTTGGACTCTGTCAAAAAATAAATTGTTTTTCCCCAAAAAAAAAAAAAAATATTAATTCGCATCTGTCCTACCAAAAAAAAAACCAATAGTAATAGGATAAATAATTAATGTGTACGCGTCAATTAAATTACAAACTTTTTTTTTTAAAGATTTCAAAATGTCGTTTGATGACAAGAAAAGAAAAAGAGGCAAACAAAATGAAACAAAAGATACTTATGGGTAAGTGTTTATCATAAGGATGGTGGTGGTTATCGCCACTCGTCGTCACTCTAGTTATTTAAAAAAGAATGGCGGCAGTGGTTACATACAATCACTGCCACCAGCTAATGGTAATTTTGGTGAAGTCAATAAAGCAAAGTGGTTTGATATATATGATAGAAAAGATGTTGTATTGAAAAAATTATATAATTCAAATAATAAAATTGTAGATATTTTAAAAGAGGTAAAACAAAAAGTTTAATATTAATTGTTAATATTGATTTATTACCCTTAAACAAAGACATAAACTTAAGGAGATAATATTTTAATTTTTTAGTTGGAAGCAAATTATGAAATTAATTTGTTGGGGAATTATGTTAACTATTGCTATGGAATTACCAAAGAGCCAAATAAAAATGATTATATGTTAGTATTTGAGTATGCTAAAAATGGAGATTTATATTATTATTTATCAAGAAATTTTAAAGAGATTACCTGGTGGAATAAAATGAGGTCACTTTTGGATATTTCAAAAGGGTGAGTTTTGTTATTGGATTTTATTTTATTTATTTTTAGTAAATATTTAGTAAAATAATTACAATATATCACATTTCAACTACAAATGAATTAGATTAAAGCAGATTCATTATAAAAATTACATTCATCAAGATTTACACAGTGGTAATATTTTTTCATATGATATTGATCATAGCAAAATAGGAGACTTAGGATTATGCCAAAAATTAAATGAAGATAATCCAAGTAAATCAAATAAATCAAAAGAAATCTTTGGAGTAATTCCATATTTGGCACCTAAAGTATTATCAGATGAACCATATACAAAAAATCAGATACAGTACCTGGACAAAAGTATCGGACCCCCTAAATGTATTAATTACACAAAAACGTACATAATAAGTATACAGAA